TGAACTTTAAAGTGTAGCTGTCTTTCAGGATAGCCCTTTCTACTGCTCCATCTAAGTTCTCTGATTGTTGCTAATATTCTTAAGACTGTTATTTGTCTATTTACATCTCGATCCCTAAACTTGGATACAGGCCCCAACTCTTTTGCAGTTTGAATATGTTGTTTTGATCTGAAACCACTAGGCGGAAGTATTCAACAAGTTTCAAAGTTCTGTTGCAAATCCAAATCTCAGGTGACAATTTTATGAAATTTGGGGTTTCTAGCAGGACTCCAAGGGTCTACTGGGTCACAATTCCTCTTGCAAAGTGCCGTAGTACATAAACCCTTGAAGAAATTTATAACTATTCAATTTTTTGTCAGACTAGCAATGCAACTTCACAACTCCGTGCTCTGAAGAACAGAAGCCGCTTTTAATTTATGGGGTAACATTTTTCATAGCTATTCTTTCTGTTTTTTAAGTGCTTTTTTCCCTAGCTCACATTTTCCCACCTGCTTCATTTACTGAGAATTACGATATGTCCTCTCAGCTGTTATTTCTAGGCTGAACAAGCAAAACCTGAATCTCTTTTCATAATATAAATGATATTATTCATTTTAGCATTGCTTCTCTGCATGTTGTAAAGGTATGTGGCATGCAAGAGCATCTGCTTCACTTAGGTTATCTGATCAAAGACCTTCTCAGGGCAAAAGGGAGAATAAGTAAAGGAGGAAACCATACACAAAACACACAGAGGCACAGACCTGATAGAGGAGGGACAAGGGAGACAGTGACAAACACCAAAAGTCTCCAGTCTCGCTAACTGATGGGCCATTAGGAGGTGAGAGGCATAGCTCTGGAGGGGGCCCACCCAGGCTTCGTAATGGATAAGAAGGGCCTATGGGATCATGTGAAACTTTCTGAGCAGGTTTGGAGGAAGAGCAAGGAGGGGAGAAACAAGGAGGAGAATAGAGAGGAGAGGGTCTAAAAAGGGCTGGTTGCGTGGAAGCAGTTGCCGGTCAGCATGCAGTCAAGGCCTGTGGCCACACCTCAGTCTATCCTATCTTAATAAATCCTTTCTCAGTTTTCTGTTTCATCTTACTCCCTGTCCCATATGTGCTTGTATTTCCTCTGACCTGGTGTGGGTGTGGGTGTGTGTAATTTGCTAACAGACTTCAAGCCGGACTAGCTGGTGAGGATAGGACCCTATAGCGGACCCCAAGGTGCGGGCAGGGATGTCCCACGGACAGAGGGGACTGGCTGACATGTATGTGAGGGATCTGTGAAGATGCACGTGCTGTGAACTGGTGAGTGAGGGTGTGTGCTTTCACTAAAGCTCTGCTCTTTGTTCACCTGAAAGGATCACTTAATACACTTGATCCAGTTTTAATTCACCATTGTTGACTTGCAAAGCTATTCGGCAAATGCAAGGAAAAACTTCTCTCTGCTTTAAAGTGCAATAAAATTTTTGTGCCAAACAGCTCTGTTGATTTCCCTAAGGAGTTGAGAAAAACTGTATTAAATTATCGGTAGGGTCCTCTCTGATTTTCTTTTCTTGCCCATCCTGATTTTGCTACAGAAATACTCTTTTTGAGACAGTTATTTATCTATTTAGGTCTTGATCCCTGTATATGGGATACAAGCCCTCTTTTATTGGTTAATTCCAAGCTGACCTTTTTTTTTTTTCTCCTTTAACTCCTCTGATTGGGATGCAAATAAGGAAAGACATTGCTTTTCTATTACATTTATTTCCTATCAAAAATATGTATACTGTAGGTAGTGAAATCAAGTCTACTGAAGAGCGCTACAGCTGTTCTGGGATTTTCATTTCCTTTTTTGATAACGATATTTATTGTGTTACAAGACTATCAAAGGAACAAACAAAAATGTCATGTTATTGAGCCAGGTTTCTCATAGGTGGTCCAAGGGAATGACTCTCATCACTGAAGTTTTTGTTATCTCTGCTAGTAACCTCTTAAAAAATGTAGCAATCTCTTTGTGAGTAAAAACTGTAAGCCATGCATAGAGTACAGAAGAGGTAACTATTGAAGAGAATAGGTTGTTAACACAACTGATTGAAAGGGGACAAGCAAAATCAAATGTTATTCAGCATGGCTGAATGGAAGGCAATCTATCGAGAAACAGTACTATAGGTCATCCTGACGTCTCAGGAAATTATGATTATAATAAGAACACTGGAAGGATTCAAAAATTAAGATGATTTGGAGAAGACCCAGAATGGTTAAAGGAACAGGAAAACATGCCAAGAGACTTATCTTACCCAAAATGATATTACCTTTACTCAGAAGGGTTTCTGCAAAGGATAAATTCATTTTGCGGGTTACCGGTAATTTCTCGTACTGATAAGGGATTCATTACGGCACTAAACATCTTTCACATCCTGTCTCCTGTGCTAGTGTAGCTCTGACTGACCTCCTGAATGGCCTTCCCAGAAGGATGGACGTCAGTGAGGTTTGTGTGTAGCTGACTGTAAATAAATCTATTTGTATAATGCAAAAATACCCCTTCCAGGCACACAAACTGGAAAAGATGAATTTTGTTACCTTTGGGTATGCATGTATTCAAATATTTAATCTCCTAAGAGGATGTGGTGTCAGAACTACTCTGTGTGCACTCAAATCGACAAGAAGGGGGAGTGTGACTCATTATGGTTTCTTGATGGACTCTACACGTCATGGAAGCAGACATCTGCTCGGCTCAACTGGAAAATACCACCTCGTAAGTGCGCTATAGTTAACTTCTAAATTTTGGTGGGCCACAGACTGGGGAAGCATTTACAAAAAAATCATTTTAGCAAAAAAAATTATTTTCAATTTTATTAATTATTTTTAATTTTTTGTGTGAAGGAATAAATCTACCTCAGTTTCAATGGCATAGAGCTATTGACCTCACTGATATAAAACAGATTGTTTACTGGCGTCAGTCTTAAGATATGAAGGAGTACTAGTCAAAAATAATCAAAGATGCTATAATGCTAGGAGTAGCTAGGAGAAGCTGAGGGAATACCACAGAGAAAATGAAAATTAGAAGGTATTGTAATTATTATTTATTTGTAGCCAGTGTACAGACAGCTTCAACTGAAACCAGAGTCCCACTATCAAAGTGTAATTTACCATTCATAATAAAAGAGAATTTCTGTCCAAAGAGCTCACAGTCTGAAGAGGTAAAAAAGGCAGGAGAAGAGGAAGGTAACAGTGATGAACAGAAAAGGACATATAACTACAACCTTAGAGAAGGGATATTGAGTGAGCACGTAACTTGCCTTTCAAGTTGCACATGGAGCATATAGCAGATGCAGAAAATATCCCCAGAGCTGAAGCCCCAGTCACAAAACTTGCTTTCTTTTCTGGCTGAAATCAATATGGGGAGGAAAGCACAACTGAGCCTTGCCAGAACCTGGCAAACCCAACAGTGACTGCAAGACTATAGATTCATAGTCACAAAAAGAAAGCATCTTACACTGACTTGCATGTAACATGCTTGAGACTTAAACAAGTGATCAAAACGTCAAGAGGAATTTATGACTATGCCTGCCTAGTGCACGACATGAGGATACTACATCAGCCATCAGGCAGCAAAATGCATCAGCTAAAAGTATCTCCAAAGTACATGTACAAAGGGCATGAGACAGACTATTGTTTGGGCATATATTTTTCTGAGAAGCAGCCCAAGCCAGTAAGAACCTAAATGAAGATAAAGACGTTTATAAAGAAAGCATGGTGAAGATCATAGGAGAACATGTGCATACTTGGTTTTACGAGAAGGAGAATTTATGATTACATCCATGGTCTCGTGTTAACTCCAAGTTCAAATGCTTCAACCCAAACTTCCTCACCAGCCACACTGTCACTACACTGGTTTGTTCTAGCCCTTCACTGGAGCAAGCTAACTGACCCTAAGCAGTGCACCTACCACCAACAGGTCACATCTGCCTTAGGTCCAGGGTTCACCCTATGATCATGGCTGACATGCACCACCATGACCAAGGGCAATATCAATGGGGACTGCAGGGAGCTCCCCCATTTCTGATACCTAAAGAAATGGTTGGAGTGATGCTGCTGACTTCCTCTTGGTGGATGTATCCTTTGTCTCTCTCCCCTCTACCTCATTATTCATCGGCAGGATGCTCAAGGATGAAACTTAGCCATTCTGTAAAGGCTGATGAAAGTATCTAACAGATACAAAATTTGGTAGGCATTGACTGACAGGAAGTCAGGCAGCTAGGTTGCCTTAGCTTCATTGCTGGAGGAAAACAGGTAAAAAAGAATCCTCACTGGCAAAATATAAAAGAAGGTTTTATTCAGCCCAGTACAACTTCTGGAATATTAAATGTTGTATTTATTATTTCATTATGCAGGAGTATACATAACATGACTTATTCTGTACCTTCATCACATTAGAGGAAGTCCAGTATAGTGTGGTACACCTGTGTATCATGCAATGGCTATTTTTGTGATATATCCAACACAAGACATAAAAAATTAGCAGCCATTTGCTTAACAGGTTTATAATGAGAGTATTAATTAGGGATGGACTAAGGGTAAATTTTAGCTCCTCTCCCTTCTGCAAATGTATCTTATCTTTCCCTGCTTTCTAGGACATCCATTGTTGCTTCAGCCTCTCCATGCCTCTTAAACCAGGGTGATGCATGTAATGTCAGCAGGCATATTTGTCTGTGCTGTGAATAACACCTCAAAACTCAGATACGGTGGGAGCTGCTTTGCAGTGGGGGTGCCACTGATGAAAAAAGATCCAAAATCCTTCACAGCTTTTGTTTCTGCACATATAAATATTGAACAAAGCTGAATATAACAGAGTCAAAGGCTACAACTTAGCAACTACCATAGTTAAGTAATCACGTTTAACTATGTTTACCTGATCTCGATCAACAAGCGTTCTTGACAGTACAAATTTAATGAGGAGGCTGCTTCAGTTGACATGTATTTACAGTATCAGCTTCTATGAACATTTAAAATATTCTTGACATCATTTTCACTGATTAACTATTTAATATCTGGAGATTGTTGATTATCTGCAAATTCTCCATTCTCGACCATAAGATTGCCACTATTGGCCCTTGTGACACTGTCATATGATGGAGGAGAAGATGTTGAGGACAAAGTTTCAGACTTATCTAGACTCCTGCCATAGTTTTCATCCATCATAGATGCAATAAGTCCCTCTTTTTCTGGAGCATCCTCTCCAAGAACATCACCATTGCAAGTTCTGTGATGGTACAGGTAAGAAGCCTGCTTTATGGAGCGCTGAAGCAAATGACTCCGGTATGCACGTTGGATGACAGTGGCACAAACTTCCTCTTGTTTGTGTCTAAGTGTAGTGGAGATTGGTTCATAGGACTTTTTGGAAGGGTTGGCAGCCATGAACTTCTCCTCCATTTGCACTTTCAGATTATCCATCTCCCCAGAGTCTCCTAACACTCGTTTGGTAAAAGCAAACAAAATATCCAAGCAATGGATCCTATCTCCACTGACCATGGGCAGGTCCATTGCTATGAGTTCAACTTTGTTTGGTTTTGGTACACGTAAAGGTTCAGTCAGCGCATCTGCAAAGTCCGAAAGTGCAGAGAAAGTTATAAACTGAGTTGCTTCAGGATCAAACTTCTCCCAGATTTCATAAAAGATGTCAAAGTCATCTTCACCTAGAGGCTCTGTACTTTCCTTGGTGGCTACACTGAAATTCTCTAAAATAACAGCTATGTACATGTTGACAACAATGAGAAATGATATAATGATATAACTTACAAAATAAATAATGCCTATGGCAGGTTTACCACATTCACCTATAATACCACTTACGTTTGGATCACAATACGGTGGTCCAGTGTTTAAAATAGGACTGAGAAGACCATCCCAGCCAGCTGATGTTGTGATTTGGAAGAGACAGAGCATGCTGTTAGCAAAGGTTTGGAAGTTGAACATATCGTCAATGCCATCTGCCATCTTCACATAGGCAAAGTTAGCCATGCCAAAAATGGCATAAATGAACATGACCAGAAAAAGCAAGAGGCCAATGTTGAACAGAGCGGGTAGGGACATCATTAAGGCAAAAAGCAGAGTTCGAATTCCTTTGGCAGCCCGGATGAGTCTTAGTATTCGGCCAATCCGAGCCAAGCGAATGACTCTGAAGAGCGTAGGTGGTAAGAAATGTTCAAATGCTTTACCGATGCCAGAAAGCAGTAAGGCTAAAAAGGAGGCAATAATAATTGGTTAGAATATCACATTTTTGCTTAACTAGCAATGGAATAAAATGATAGTATCTGTACAGTTGAAAAATACCTTGTGCTAATACCTTGTGCCCTAGCATAACAACCGTTAATAGAAGTTGTAGTTTTCAACAGAGCTGGAAGAAAAGCTGTAGAGGTCATCAGTTATGAACTATATTTTTCAGCCAACAATAGTTTCTGCTGTATTAAGGATGATAAACATCTTTCTATGAACAATATTTAAATGTGCGTATCAGCCACTGTTTGTGGTTAATGGTTTTCCAGTTGCGTGAATACTTCAGCAAGTGCAAGTTATATATTTATATTCTAATTTTTAGCCTCAAATATTGACACTACAGAGCTAAATTAAGAAAACATGCGATAACAGCGATGTCATGGTTATCATTTAGATAATATAGTCAAGACACATGTAAGCAAAAATCACAAAGTAATGAACGCAAAACTAATGCATGCCGTTCTACAACGGCTTTCAGTCCCTTCAAGGACATAGCTATACATGGATGCTATTTTATATTTAGTTTGCATGACAACTGAGAGACAGGTCTAGTGGCTCTAGAAGCTGAGGTCTGGCCTTTTAGATTTAGACAGGTTGGACTCAGTTTTCTGGATTTCCACTGCAGGAACTTCCCAAACACGAGCTCAATTCTTACTGCCCCCGCAAAATGTAACTCTTGTTAAAGAAAATAAATATTTTTCTTCTTCTAAATACCTTCCTCTAGTTTAGCAGTATTGGCACTAGGAATAATGAAGTTGACAGAAGAGCTGTGATTTCAGCTCTTTAACCTATTCTACCACTGTGATCCCTTCAAATAAAAGCTAAGATAATTGGATTGTTTTTTTTCTATTCTGTTAGAGAGTGTGAACCCTGAACTTCAATCAGCTACGCCTGAGTTTCAGGAAAGTGAATCCCATAATCTATATTCTCATTCTGAACTCCATAGTCTCTATAAATTTCAATTCCTTATTACAAGCACAGATGACAAAAAGAAACAATTCTTATCTGATGAAAGATTTATTGGTTTGGAATCATGGTACTAAATCTGTAACAGCTGAAATTATCACATAAATTGGTATTGGTACTATGGGTCATTAATTCTGTCTTTCCAATAGGGAAAAAATAACCTAAACAACCATTATGAAAGATTTATGTAACGCAGTCTTCCTTTAAAAATATTGGGTTTTATTACAATAAAATAATGGTTTTTATATAAAAAAAATCCTATTCCATGTTATTTTAATGTAACCATATCTGTTTACTTTCCGATCCTTTTTTCTTTCTTTCTTTTTAGGCTATATAGATCTCTTTCCTCAGCACTTCACAGCATTACAGCTGCCGTTTCAACATCCATTTGCAGCTGATACATTTTAATTTTTTTTTTTTGTGAATAGAATTACATTTAGTAAAGAATTTTCCAATTCAGTTTTACTTACCAATAAGCGACATGATCACAACAACTAAATCAAATATGTTCCAAGCATTCGAGAAATAGTATTGCCTCAGAGCCACCAATTTCAGTACGCATTCTGAGGTAAAGATAGCAACAAAGAGTATGTTGATTTTGTTAAGAACGTAAGTCTTTGTTTCACTTTGGTCATCCGTTTCCACCATCATGGTGATCATGTTGAGGCAGATGAGAATCATGATGATGACATCAAAGGCTTGACGTGTTACAACGTCAAAAAGGAGCCCTTGGTATTTGTTCTATAGAAAGAAAATACACCCAGCATTAGTTATAAAAATAGGGGGTATTCATCTGCATATACTTATGAAAAGCTCAACTTTTATGCTGCAAAGTCATTTAACTGTGATAAGGACAGAGAAATTTAAGAAAGTAGAATATAAAAATGACATTAGAGCTCCCTCCCCATCCTAATGTTTAATCAGTTCCAAGGTGAATGTGTAATGCAATAATATTTATGCACAAAACTTAATAAATATTTAACCTGTAAAATCTTGTAGGGCAATTTTTTCATATGGAATTGACTTTAAGAGCACAATTTGAATATCAATGAAAAGACAGTATAAATAATTTATGTACGATATATAAATGTAGGCACTTCTCAGTGAATTAAGTTAGTTTTGCAGTGCATTTTTCTTTGGAGGAATTCAGTCAGTCTTACCAATGGTCTTGGAATAGGCTTTTGAGGTTTCTTGGATCCCAGCTTTTTCATTGCATTGTAGTATTTTTTCTGTTCTTCTGTCATAAAGATATCTTCCCCACCTAAGTATATAAAGATATGTCGCTGTTATTATTGATAAGAAAGCAGCTTTATTGTAGCTAAGAAGTCTAAAATACTGCAAACTAACATTTCTTTCTTTTTCATGTCTTGCTGGGTGTGCTAGGTTACTAGCCCTTTCCGTAATTAGTAATAGGACCCAAAGAAACACGGTGACATGAACCATACATTTCACTGAACGGTTGCATGGTGAACCTTGGCAAGCACAGAAGGCATGAAAAAAACAGAGCAATGAAAACCTGGCTAAGAACCACCCTTTCCCTGGTTTCCCTCGTGCTGGTCTTGTTAAATATCCAAAAAACTTATCATAGCAGCTGTCCCCAGCCACCTCTAAACAAACAGTCTCCCGTAGTGCTCAGCACCAAGGGTAGGAGCAGCATTTTAAGGGGCTGCAGAGCTGATGTCACAGCCTTTGAAACTTTGGGAGAGAGTTGTGTGTTCGTGCTATAGGGCAAAAGAAAGCAGGAGGAACCTCACCCGTAACAATACTTCTGCTAACTGCATTATGAATGCTATTGTAAACGCAAATAGAAGTTTTAGATGCTGTGTTCAGCAAAAGCTTTGTACTCTAAAGATAGTACACTAGAGAGACAGTCGATGCTTGGGAGCACCACTGGTATACTTATCTTTTTCTTTTGTTGGTTGAAGTTGTCAATAATAACACCAACAAAGAGATTCAGGGTAAAGAAAGACCCGAAGATGATGAAGTTCACAAAGTAGAGATACATTAATAGACTATGTTCCATTTGCGGCTGTTCATTTTTCTGCAGAAATGAAAAGCAAAATGAAAAATGACCAAGAGCAACAGGGCCACAATTTACAATAATCATCTTTTTGCAGATCCTCTTACGAATTGATCCCGCTAGGAACTAAGATTTACAGCCCTACTGCAAACTCTGACTGAAGTAAGTATACTTTATAATGACCTATAGTGCTTAACACAAAATTTTATATGTTGTACTAGAGGAAGGGGCATGAAATTGTGGTAGAAAGTAACATTTGAAATGTGACTGCTTGATCCAGTGAAATCCTAGGAGCTCACAGGAGATAAAGGGACACTTTACATGGAAGATGATAAGTTTGATCACATGGTGACTGCTATCTGTTCTGATATGCCAGATCACGATGAAATGAGATGCCAGATGAAACACCTGACATATAACCAACCAGAAAGTATGTTTTAATATAATGATATTACAACAAAGTTTTAATACTGTGACAGCTTGTCAGTTTGATTTCTTTTACAATGTTTTTTTCTGCATTTTTTGGCTAGATCGTTGCAGAACAGGATAATGTCATTTGTACTGGTATCGAATATATTTGAACTGCGAAACCTGTAGAACAAAATTTACCCTTTGAATAATGGTGAATGAGGTTTAGCTTTATTTTTCGCTTCTTTTTCTTTTCCAAACAAGCTGATTTTTTCTCCCTTTTAAACCTGACTTAAGATACTACCAATTGTAATTGATGCATGCCTCCATAGAGTCAGTAGAAACAGTTATTGAATTGGACATTCTCGACACATTTTTCCACAAGTGTCTGTCAACCTTCAGCTTCTTCTGAAGAGAATGAGAGCTGTAAAGTGCTCAGCACTTCTAAATAGTTCACCTGATTTTTGAAGTCTAAACTCAAGCTCTTCCCTTTCAAAATGTTGGCCTAGATATATTTTCTTCTTCCCAGCGAAAGAGCTCTCTTATAATTATTAATAATAAAAATAAAAACAAGAGGACAAATCTAAACTCCCCTACTGGTCAACAGTATGCAGTTAGCAGGATCAATGGAGTCTAGACGGGGTGTCCATTTGATCAATACGGACATTCAGGGTGAGCTGAGCAGCTCTCTAGATCCTTCAAGTGTATTGACTAGATCTGCATTAACCACAGTAGATGCTTGGATGCTGAGCTGACACAGAGATCCTTACACCGCAAATAACTGCATTTGGGTGTATGGATCTGGCGTCGAATCCCACTCGCCGGTAGAGCAAGCTGGCATTATGATACTGCAGGTCATTCACAGATGAAATGTTTGCGTCAGATGATGGAAATAATTACTGGAAAGCTTTAGCACAGACAAATAGCAGATGTCAACAACATGTGAAAATCACAAAAGCAGGGCAGAAAACTGAAGAGCTGCTTTTCAGAAAACACCATTTAATGGTAGTGACTAACCTCTCGTGAGTCTACTGCTGCATACATAATGTCCATCCAACCTTTGAATGTTGCCTGGAAAGAAAGAGAGATTATGGAAAGCATGTCAAACTTTTACGGCAAAAGTCTTCATACCATTTGCAATATCCAGGTGACAATGATTGGGGAAAGAGGCTGTGCTGTGGTCACGAACATACTGCACCACATTCTGACTTTAGAGAAACTTGCCGGTACTTTATATGTGACATCCTCACCCCCAGGGTGAGAAAGCTGGTGAGGGAGGGACAGCACACGTTGCATGAGGATCTTGCCAGAGCAGCCCTTCACTGCATGGGCTACCGAGGGTCTTATAACCCTCGTAGCTGAACAAATCTGAATGGTGGAGTTCAACTCGTCTGCACACGAGAATACCCCAACCTTTTCCACTTGCGTGTGCTAACATCACTGCTGTAGCCCACTCAGCTGCGAAGGAAGAGTGGGCTGCATAAGACTACTCTTTTCCATCACGCACAGAGATGAATTAGGGGTTAGCTGGATGCTGGATCCATCCTGGCTAGTGAAGGTGAACTGCACTTACCACCTGAAGAAGAGCCAGGTAACCAGAGCCAACGTTATCGAAATTGACTTTAACATTGACCCAGAATATTTTCCCTGTATTATTATAAGTTTTACAGTCTGTTATGTCATTAATCGAACTATTTAATTCTGAATCTTCTTCTGTCAAATTGACACATTTCCCAAACTTTCCAGCAAATAAGTTCACTCCCATGATGCTAAAGATGAGCCAGAAGATGAGGCAGACAAGGAGGACATTCATGATGGAAGGGATGGCTCCTACAAGGGCATTGACCACCACCTTTGGTGAAATGGGAGAAAAGAAACACAGTTACTTAAACAAAGATGGGCTGAATTATCCACTCACTACAGTGAATTGTTACAAAATACATATACATATATATATATATATATATGCATCCCTTGGCCATCTTGGCAAACAGTAACCTAATTTTTTCCATGCAAATACCCATCCCAGCTGTGACTAGTACCTTGAACAAAGATTCACAGATGCGTTGTAAGATCAGGCCCAGGGAATGCAAACTTTTTGGAATAAAAAACTGTAATGTTTTCGAAGGAATAGCTGGTTTGTTTTCGTTTGCTGTGAAACACCACCACATAAGCATACTACCTGAGTCCATCCTCTTTTGATAACTTTCTCCATAAGCAATAGTGAAGAGGGACCGTGGAAAGTATTTTTTAGAGGATCACTAGTGAATCTCTGCTAGTCTTTTTGCTAGTCTTTTGCTAGGTCTATTTTTTTTTTTACTCTATTATTGTTATATTTGGGAACCAAAATCATGAGCTAGAGCCTTTTTGTGGTAGATGCTGTACAATCACAGAAAAAAAATCCATTTAGGATTTAAGTGCATGCCAAGGCATAACAGATTACTTCACAAAATGAGGCAGTGTAAGGAAGTAATGAAATGATATGTTTAAGTTTCACAGGCAGGGAATTCGGAACATCAAAGTCTGGCTGCTGTCAGGTATCAAACAAGAACTTAATGGAGTGGAATAAAAATGAAAAAGCTTTGTCAACATTTTTGGAGAACACGTCACCAGGATTTTATGTAGCAAGGTAGAAAGTATGATAGTACTTATTTCAAAATCCATCCCAGATTTGGAAATTTTTGGCAGTAAATTAATTGAAAGAATGCATCACTTTCTCTCTGTCTTCACAGGGACAACATTGCAATCAGAGGGTTTTCACTTTCACTTCCAAAAGCTATCCAAAAGAAATACCTCTCAACATCACTGAGTCCAGGTTCCCATATAAATGTCTAGCAGTGACATTACATATTATCTATATTCACCTGCTAGAATATATTCCATAGACCTAGAAGTTACTTTTGCCCAAACAGTGCTGTGGCTATTATTACTGCTTCTCATTACAAAGCTCAGATGTGTTTTGCGTATGACTAGCTGAGGGAATCTCTCTGCATTTATACGATGACAGACTTGTAATCAAAATCATGTCTAAGTTTCATATTCTTCCAGGTATTCTTTTGATGGAAAAGGCAGCAAATAATCCACAGGGACACATTCCCGCTTTTTGTAAGAAATAATAATAACTTGGACAAAGTGCCCCTTGATAGTCTAGAGCTCTTGTAAATCAATCCTGTAAAAAACTTAGAAAAAGGAGATGATTCATTTTTTTCTGAATTAGCTTTCCAATAAACTTCAAAATGAAAACTACGTTCGCGGTTCTTATTTTGTTCTTGGTCATCTCAATAAGGCAAGAAGACAGGAATGACTGAGCAGCATTGGAGCAGAGTTGTGTTGGGTCTAGGTCTAGTTTCAGCAACGGCTAGGCCCAAACACTTAAGGAAAATCTATAAGGAGCACACAAGTTCAGAGCAGCCTTGCAAATGTAGCTTTTAAAAATTAGTCTTGTAGACCCTAGATTTTACTTGCTGCAGGCCTGCCTAGTTCTTGAAGACCATCACATGAGTTATGATGCTTTTACGTGGTTATTAGTACAACAGGTTTTAACTCATGTTCAGTCTTACCCTCATCCCTTCAAATCGTGACAACGCTCTCAAGGGTCTCAGAGCTCGGAGAGTCCTCAGAGACTTCATATAACCAAGTGAACTACCTATGATGTTTATTAAAGAGACCTGAATGGAGACACAAAAGAATTAGCAAAGTTTTGGCATCTGCTTCTTTTATTCAAAATAATAATAAATAATCATCATCATCATTGTTGTCTTATTGGTGAAAGTGGAGAAGATTAGCCTGCAAACACAGGTGTATGTTTTTTACATCTCAAAATTTAAGGCCGAAATTTGCAATCCACTGAAACTAATCATAAAATACACTACGTAAGGGTGCTAGATTTCACTTAGAGTAATCTCTCCAAACTTGGGTTTGATGTGGACATTTAGAATATTACAGTGGGAGAGATTTACAGATCAAATTGCAAACAAGTCTTCAGTGTCCAGAGTGTGCTGTCCCAAAAATCATCATTAATGAAAGGTACGAAAGAGCTCTGTGCTTCCTAAAAGAGTTTCCCTTTCGAGCTGTCTTAAATTCACAGCCAAAAAAGAATCAGTTGTTCTACTGCGACGTCCTGTGTTAGGAACCGCCTGGAAACATCGAAGGCAGAACTTACGTGTACAATAAGGAAGTCAAGCCAGCACCAGGCATTGGTGAAATACTTCTTGAAGCCATAAGCCACCCATTTCAGGAGCATCTCCAGAACAAAGACGAAAGTGAATATTTTGTCAAGAAATGCCAACATAATTTTAATACTTCTTCTCTCGTTTATATGGATATCTTCAAATGCCTGAAATAATAATACATAGATAAACAGCAAAAGTCAGAGATGTCCTTCAAAAAAATGACAGTCTAGAATCATTAAGTGCCCTTCTGGTCATTCAATATGTGATTTACACAGATCTGAACCCCGTCTACATCTCCTCAGATATATATTAGCTCAGAAATTTAATTCTTTCTGCCCTTTCTCTGTACTGTATACCCCTGTGGGGGCACACACACATGCACACTGGGATCCTAGGAGGAAAGCATATTTTTTGAAATTTAGCTCAAAAAGCTTAAAATCTCAAGAGAATTAAAACACTAAGAAAGAGTCATTTATGTATTTTAATGATATATGCTATATATATATTTCACAGTTGTGGAATATCTTCCAGAGAAAGTCCTCAAAATCCAGTATGCAGCTGGAATGGAAATAGCTTCTGAGCATTATACATTTTTAGAGGAGTTGCTCATTCTCTCTCATAATTTGTAATAACATAAAAAATAAATTTGTAATAGTTACAATAGTGAACGACTCCTACACGAAGCCTCTTCCTATTTCCTCCTGACGACTTTGAAGATATGCCTCGTCTCCTCTGCCATAAACACTTTGCTGCATGCAAATCAAAGCTAAAAATGCTTCTAACAAATACACGAAATTGTGTTACGCTAACCAGGGCTCCGCTGCTCAGAAGAATCATGAATATGATAAAGGATTCAAACCAGGAATGCTCAACAATTTGGTAGCAAGTTTTTCTCAGGTTCCACCATGTTTGTCCTCCCAAGTTTATGGTTTTGCCCGCACAACAACGAAAGTATCGAACACAACCTGAAAGGGAGAGACACACAGTAAGGAAAGCACGCACAAGTGAACAGTCGCCCAGGAAAATTCTGGGTGTGCGGGAAGTCCTTGGGCACCTTAGATAGACAGATCTTTTTGGTGGTTCCTTTTCATCTGCTTTGCCAGGAGTAAAAAATTAGGAAAAACATACATGTGCATGTATTTTTTTGTTTCCTAATTCCTATTTATATACATAATAAAGCTGCTGGAGCCCCTTTGAACAACTTAGCATTATTTCCAGACACTTCTGAGACATTGGTCCTCAGGTAGTTGCTGTTTGGGCTCACAAAACTTCAGGGCTGGGAGAAGAAGAGCCCTGTTGTTGCAAAAGACTTTATGAGTTTTTAAACAATGTTTTTGGGAAACAGTACCATAATACACCAGGAAAAAAGGCTTAGAAACAAAGAAGATACTACCATTATCATTAATACAGCAGCATTATACCTTACCTTGCAAGGTCCATTCATTCATTTATTTATTTACTTTTGAATGCACAAAGTGTCTGATTTTATATCACATAACCTGTAAGAACGTGCCTCATTGAAGGTTGACTAAAGGGAGATGTTTCCTTGCGAACGTAGCAGATTACTTCTGTGGTTTTTAGTACTTCTTACAAGTGGCACTGGCAGCATTACCAGTTAAGTTTTCCTGAAACAACCTGTTGCAAAAATCCTGTTTCCAGTTGATCATTCATTTTACCAAGAATTAACTCACTTTGGGCGACATTTTCCTTGCTGTCTGCTCTAGCCTAATTCACGTTTGCATTGTTGTGAAAAAAAGTAGGAGGCTTCTGTCATCTCCAAAAATGAAAAAATATATATATTGTGCATTTCTGCATTATATACACTGCAGTATATATAATTTGTGTATGTATCTATACAGATAGATAGAGGTGTTATCTATTCCATATAACTTACATGTATATGGTATTTATATAATCTATGTAAAAAATTCTGATAATCTTTCTTTTAATAATCTCTTTTTCCCCAGTAACTTGGAGCCGAGATTTGGGATTAGGCATGGGATGGCACTTCCACAAGTGCAGAAACCTACTTGAGCTACGGATTTGTTACACCTTCACTTTAATTCACTAATGATTTGGCCACAGCAGATATGCTCTGCCTTGGGACTATGGAGCATGAAACAAGACATTTCACTATTCTTCTCTGGACGAGGATTTTCGAGCTGGAGTGGGGAGAGAAAACCTTTATCTGTTTTGCTCTGATGACTGTACCGAGAAATAAAGCCGTCTATAAGGTAGCTGCAACAAAAATCCTGTAGCTCAGAAATCTGGTGTCTGTATTATTAATGTACCATTTGTGGTCTTTCTGGAGAGATAAAAGCAAACTGCAATATAAAGATGGTAAGTCTTCCTTAGGATTTATGGCGTATAGCATCATAATAGTAAAAAAGACATTATAGCACTGGAAGTGCTTTGCTCCCAGAGACAACACCTCCCTAGCTTTGAATAATTTTGACTTGCTTCGCTCTTACTGATTCAATCCTAAAACAGCGCTCCAGAAATTTCATGGACGTAAAAAGGGCGCAGGGAAACAGGCCAGCCCTGCAGAGCCGGGCAGGAAGGTGGTGGGAGTAACTAGAGCCAGATGAGCACTGGGAACGTTTTTACTAAAGATATAATTCGTTTAATGTAACAAACTTACTTGGAAGAAAAGCTCCTACAAACTGACTTGGACAATATAGTTTATTCACGCACGTCTAATACTGAGAGCGCAGTAATTACCCCGGGCTGTCAGTAATGATTGTTATTTCGGAAAGCTCTAATATACTATTTCTTTTCTTCTTATGGAAACCATATATTGTTATACATGCCTGAGTAGGAAACACTCATAAAAGCACCAAGCACAATCCATACTGAAGACTTGTAAAGTTAAGCGTTGCACAATGATCTGAAAAAGGGACTCCCGGCTTATCATCCCAAAGAGATTCAGCTTCATCCTGACGTCTTCTCTCTGCTATTTCACTCCTTCGGTCATTACAGGGATTAGTTCATAAAGCGTTATTCAAGGAATAAACATTTATATTCGTGTAAAGCATGAATAAATTAGCTTTGCATCTGACGTGCAAAGTGCCTTGTGCCAGTGTCCATATCAGGTGGGATCTGCGCTTTTCTCCCAGGCTCATGCCCTGAAGTGACTTTGATGCTGTCCTGCAGAGCACGATTCACCTCACCTCAGTGCAACCATCGCATATGCCAGACCCTGGGCCTCGGCATCTAAAGCAAGGGCGATTGTTCTTCAGGTGCCATGACCTCTCCATTGACTAGAGAGGGACAACAATTTAGACTAGATGCCTGATCTGTAGGCGACTAAAATTAAGTGATATTACTCTCACCCTATTGGCTCAGCATCGCTAGAGAAACGGGTTATTTTTTACTCTTCTCATTTCCCAGGAGTGAAAATATTAGAGTTTTACCTTCTGGAAAACATGTGTCTGGGTTCTTTAAGTCTTCAGCAAACTCTGGAATCTGCCTCAAAAGATCTTCAGGATTCGTCAGATCCACTGTGCTGCCTTCAGAAGAGCTGACGTCGTCAAACTGCCAAACAAAATAACATCAGGCATTGATTCTTCCCATGTTCATCCCTATCTGAACTAATCTGTCCCTGAGAAACTGCAATTTAAAAAAAATCAAAAATGAAAGCTTGGCTGTGTATTAATATTTCAGGCTATGTACTAACATTTCAGAAAGCATTAGCAAAGGATTGGACTTTGATTTTAAAAGTGTATGAGCTTCGAAATACCTGCAGGTGCATTCGAATGGGAGCCAAACCCTTATGCACTTACAGTGTATAAATGCATATCTATCTGTATGAACCAGCTTAAACTGTCTAATGAGCTTGCAAAATGAAGTGATTGCAACTTTTATACAGATGCCTGTAGTCCTCAAACTTAGATAGGCTTTAGCTGAGCTAAAAACAGGAAAACAGGAGAATATATTTAAACTAGAGAACAAGATGAATATATTGTTGCATCAGAAACACTCAGAGAGGTACTTATGAAGTAGAAACTGGAATGGTATCATATATTCTCTGCTTATCACACATAATATATAATGTACGATGAACCAGCAGCTTGTTACAAATTAATTATTCTAGGGTTTTGTTTCTTTACCTTTCTAAACTGCTGGGGAAAATACTACTTTTTTGAAAGTGTTCTTTATTCAAAATTATTCTAAAATATCTTTATGAATAACTACTGCCTTTAGTTTCTTTGTGAGTAACTTATTTAAAGTACTATGTTTCCTGGAATTGAGATATTTAGGATATAGGTGGACTTGTAGGAATTTCCCATTTTACTCGGAAGCATAATAATTCTTTACTGTCACTTTTTTTTTTTTCCTGACTCAGATTTTAAAAAATACAAAATAACAGAGATAATTTTGTAAATGATTTGTTTGACTCACATTATTTTATAGTCTTTCCATTTCTAAGCACTCTTTTCTATGTTATATGTGTGTGTGTGTGTGTGTATTTGTTTGCATGTATGTATATGTATATACATGTATATTTTAGTGAATATGTGGGAATACTTAGGAACCCAGCACAGGTTCACTTTCGTTCATCCTCACTCCATCATTAAACAGACAAACTGGCTGCTTCAAGCTCAGCACCACTAACGCTGCTAAACTGAGCTCTCATGTTGCATGCAGGGGCTACCCAAAAGGCACCATGAACCCATGAGTGAGTAACGCACCTGTGGAGTCCCACTGCAATAGAATTAGAAAGCATTTATGCATTACAATGAGTTAGAAAACATCCCTTCCCCCAAAGCAGAAGTTCATTTGTTCCGTTTCCTGCAATCTCTATTCAACTCCGGCAAATCCTACAACAGAAATGTACATCAGCTCCCAATCAGATTCGGAAACTCAATGTCATATAACAAAATGCTGTTACCTCTTTTTGCTCTGGTGATGCCTTTCTGTCCTTTCCTAGGCAAAGTACACTGAATTCTTCTGAGGAAAATCCTGATCCTCTGCTCCAGCTTCCTGAACTTTTCATTCTTTCTCCTCTTTGCCTCAGCTGATTTTCCTCCTGAAAATAATCTGTGGATTAGATTGGGATTTCTTTTCCCCTCCTTTTTGGGGTGGACAAGTTGGAAGGGAAAGAAGAATGAGTTATACAATTCATTTCAAGTAGGATGCTCTGGTGAAAAGATAAGTCACGTGGGTGTAATAATTTTGAGTCTCTAACTCTACCTAGGGATAGAAAGAGGGAAATTTTTTATTACTGGCATACAGCAAAGTAAGGAATTAGTAATTCAGCAAACAGTCCAAAGCCTGACCCAGAGCTGTGGAAGTTAAGTGAGAATTTTATCATATAGATTAAGACGGAAGCTTAAGGTAGGAAAATTTGGAACCAGAAAAGGAAAGTTCTATGGTTAAAACAGAACTGAAAATTCAGAGAAAACAAAGAAATAGAATTATATATGCTACCATATAATAAACATGAATTTAATAGATCTATCCCATGTTTACTCCTTCTACCTTGTTCTAATAGTTACTATATTCTTTATATGGCAAGGACAAAAGACAAAGAACAGACCATAGTTAAGAGTTTATATCATGAGTGAGTCCATGATAATATGTCCTTTATGTAGCCCATATGTTTTTGCTCTGTCATGTAAATAGTGCTGAAACAGGTTAACAAATGGCTAAGTCACAAAGGACTGCTGCAGTTATCTACCAACAATCCATGAACCATGCAATTACCTACACATAACCCAACGCGTCTTCCAGTAAACCCAATAATTTATGGTCTTTCTTTCAAGATCATAAACAATCTTGATTTTAAAAGGCTCCAAGTGATCAGCAATCCTCACTTCTAAAGATTCATAATTTTGATTCTAGTTCAAAATTTTGTGACTATCTGCAAGTGGATATGCATATGCCATCCTGTTCTGCTGGAGACAGTCTTCTAAGATACATACATGGTTCTATATTTATGTTGTACACCAGTATCCAAATACAAATAAACACATTTATTACCTTTTTATCGTACTCTGTGTCTGTAAATGTGCTAAGCTTATCATCATCTTCAAAACCCTCACTTATATTCTCTGCCTCAGCAATAGGGACACAAACAAACACGTTGGGATTATTAATAAAATCTTCAAGACCAGAGCATTTGTCCTCATTTTTCTCAGTCACTTCATTAGTGTAATTCTCTTTACAATTTTTTCTCTGTTTTCCAAAATCAAACTGGTTCTGGGCAGTCAATTTAATTTTCTTTTTGTGTGCTTTCTTCAGATCCCTGAGCTTTCCACAACAGGTATCCCACGTAACACTCTTCACAAAGTGAAATCCCTTGTGAATCCGAGCAAAGGCAATACGAAGATTATTCATCTCTCCATCATCTTCTGCTGTCTGGAGACAGTCAGTGCTGAAGGAATTCAGTAGTAGAGCGATGAACAGGTTGAGAACCTGAAAGCCATTGAAATAAAAAAAAAAAGCCATGAGAATATCTTTCAGAAATTTAAATTCTAACTTGGAAGTATACAACTGCTATCAAAGTTCAGTCTTACTGAACAAACCAAAACAAGGAAAAAAAGAAATGACTATAATCACACTATTGCTGAGGAAACAAACTTCTCTCTCAGAAAGCTTTACATTGTCAAGACCCTCTCCACACCAGCTTAACTTTTATCATGTTAGAATTGGGCAGATAGCATGCCTTAGCTATCTAGGCACCCCCACAATCGGTGGAGAATATTAGCCCTCCAGAGAGCAATTCTTTTTGCTTGTCTTAGTTATTCAACTTTTATGAAAATAATTCAAACTCTTGGATGCCTCTCTGTTTCTGTTGATGACAAGAGAGCCTCGATGAGTAGCTTAGCCTAAGCACTTAACAGTGGTAAAGGTTAATGGTATGTGACGTGACTCTCACTTGCAGCGTTTCATCATCAGAATGAATCACAGGATAGAACAGCAGGACTTTGAACTTGGAGATTCTGGACTCTGCCATGGAACATACGTTTCTGGTAAAGGACTAAACTTAATTCTTTTCAACAATTTCTTAAAGTAAGAGAAGGTAGGTGTACTAACGACGCTGAGAGCTAAAGGAGAAATAGAACTACAGAAATGAGCTTTCTATGACTTGCTATCGCAGGCTTTAAGAAAGAATTGAAAGTCAATCGGAGGGCAGTCGGCTCATTATGCCCTGGCAGGGCTGTGCGACTGTATGCAGTGTAAGCCACAGTGCGACCACGGTGGCAATGACTCTCATAAGCTGTTGCCTGTGGATGGGAATGCACTTACAGAAGAATTATTTATACATATGATTAAAGAAAATCCTGATTTCAATGACAGGAGTGTAGCTTCTGCTATTTGTCCATCGCAAATTCCGTAGGTATGAGATCCTGAGCAAAACCCAGATTTTGCTTTGCAGATTATCATTTAACTCCGTTAATTCAAGGAGGTAAGCCATAAACCTTAGCAATTATTTACATCCAGATCCAGAAAGGTGAAGGAAAAATAGTTGCCTGTATTATTTCTACTGGAAAGTTATTCGTTGCTGAATTCCACATCACGTTGCCGCAAGAAAGAGTGAAGTGATGTTGTGCGCAAAGCATCGAATTGAAAATATGGACAGAAGTTCAAAGGTGAAAGGCAAAAGGGGTTTTTGTAGACTATAACGACATATATAGGTCTTCTACCTCTGTTTTGGGGAACTACTCTTTATTAACAGAAAAGTAGTTAAGTATATTCTACTCTTTACAGGATAAAGAGAGGAAAAAATATTAAAAACTCACCACTAAATTTCCTATCACCATGACCAGCAAAAAGACAAGGAGGCACAACCGTTGTTCAGCTACCACCATGCAGTCCCACATGGTCTCAATCCATTCTCCACACAGAATTCGGAAAATTACGAGGAACGAGTGGAAAAAGTCCATCATATGCCAGCGTAGCTTGCCATTTTTAGTTATTTTATGGCTGTTCTCCCCATAACTTCTCCCAAAAAGTTGCACCCCTACTATAGCAAAGATAAAAACTATAATTGCCAGGACGAGGGTCAGATTACTCAGTGCACCCAATGAGTTACCAATGATTTTAATAAGAGTGTTTAAAGTTGGCCAGGACTTTGCCAGCTTGAAGACCCTCAGCTGTGTAAAAGATAAAGCATAGTGTTAGACATCAGTAGAGACAACCCATCTTTGCATCATTCAAAACTTGCAAAAAGCATTTTATAAACATTCTGAACTATTCCGATAATACAAAATATATGTCACTATGATTGCAAGGTGTGACCAACATAGTGTATCTATGAATTTGTGTATGTGTTATATCCCTTTCCTCTGCATGCTTTCACTTGTTTGTTTCATCTTGAGAGTTAGATTCTTCACACTTACCCTTAGCTTAAATCAGGTGTCTGATTTAGACTAACCAGCTCCTTTCTCTTTACAGTTAGGGTGGAGAGATTGTTTGGTTTTTTTAACCTGGGCAATATTGCAAAGATAAACTAACAATCTCCTTAAGAACCAGGCTAATATGAATCCCTGGTAAGTGTTCAGTACACGCAGAAACATATTTATACACTCCACCTGATGCAGCTTATGGTAACTAATTTACATGTGACAGAAAGGACCAGGTTTAGGAGTCCAGATATTGTATTACAATAAAAGGTGGCTACCTTTTTGGAAACAACTCAAAGCATCCAAATCATCCCACACTATAGGATATGAACACCTGCCCTTCAATTCGTGCCTGTTTTTAAGCATACTTTTCTCTATACTTCTACTCTGCCACTTTTTTTCTTGAGATTACCTGTCATATTTTTACATTTCAATATCACTTTTATAATAACTCTAATCTGAAATACTTTTTCTCTGAATATTTCTCATTATATTCAAAGCAAATAAACATGACATTAAAGTTTGACTCTAATATCTCGATGAGTTCAACAATGTATTTATTTTTTCCAGTACCGAGATTAAAAAAAAAAAACAAAACATTTATTTTATCCTAACTGCAAACCATAGAAATCTTCCCTATGATATTCATAACACAATGTTTTATGCAACCGAGTCAGCATGACGCATTACCAGTCTGAAGGATCGTAAAACTGACACGGTTCCTCCTTTTCTCCTTCCTTTCTTGCTTTTACGTTTGGGCAAACTCAGTTCAATTAAACTCAATGTGACAATTACACTGTCAAAAATATTCCAGTGCTGCTGAAAATAATAATAGGGATCTAGAGCAATGATTTTCAAGATCATTTCTGCAGTGAAGATTCCTGTAAAGACCTGCAACAAAGGAATAGTAAGTAGCATCAGCCTAAAAGTTGCCATGAATATATCTTATCTTTAGATCATGCTCCTACAAAGACAGTAACAGTCGTGGACAGGTCAACAAAGTCCACTTTTATTAACTTTTAATGCACTTTCAATTAAAATGAGAGGCTTGTTTTCTGCTTTCTCAGGAGTGCCTGTTAGAAGTGCATCAACAAAATTGGGGAATTGCATATGTTAGGAATTTAGAGTTCATAGGTTTAGATTTTGCTGATCTTTCACTTTTACAGTTTTTCTTTGTGTTTCAAGTAAAAAACACCCATCAGTCAGTCCCTTATCAGAGTCCCTTTTATCAGAGTATAAAATGTCACATATTTGAGAATTTGCTTACCAAGTTGCCTACATTAAGCATTGATTTAAAACTATCTGACATGTTATTGTGCTCCAGTGCCATGAACAAAGTGTTCATCACAATGCAGATAGTTATGGTGAGATCAATAAAAGGATCCTTTATGAAAGCAGCCACTTTTTTCTTGATTCTCAACCAAAGTGGACAGCAATCCCAAATAAGATACTTTAAAGCAAAATTTTTCAGGCATGGAGGGCATCTCCGCTGGGATTCTTCAAGTTCTAAACACAAAAGAAAACCCAGTAATAATTAGGTAATTATCACTGAGCAATGTGGTGAAATAACAACATCAAGAAATCAAAACTTGAAAGAAAAGAAGATAAAAAAAACCCCTCACAACCCACACAGAGCTTCTCCACGCCTTGTATCATTCATGCAGTCCCTATGCCAGCTAAAGAACATGAAGATAAAATTCAGAGAAAAGCTGGATTCAAAATTCACTAAGTGAATTAACATCAGTAGCTGTTGGATCAGGTTTTATATGTCCCAGGTGCAGACTTTTACTAAAATAATCTGACTAAACACAGGTGCTTAGGGTGCAGAGGTCACACATCAGCCCCTCTCCCTCGAAACTTTCAATTGTCAAAATAGAAACAGATTTGAAGTTACTGTTCATCTCATCCTAACGTAGCTGACCCCGCCACTGGCTACATCACATGCAATGCCCCTGCGTCTCCACTGACTATCAAGGGCATCTAGAGAATCAGCAGCAGCCTTAGATGTTCAGGTTGCAGATGAAGCAAATCCAAACCACTGTGCCTGAGATGTGCCCATAGGTCTCTTCTCCCGTGGGAAAACTCAAACTTGTCATTTCCCAGCTCCTGCAAGCAGCAACATCTCTTCACTTTCTATAACGAAAGCATGAGATAAAAGGGTTTTTTTGCATTGCAGTTTACATCCCTTTGGTCAAATTTGTGGTATAAATCACTGGAAGAGTCATAGCTTTTCTTTATTCACCAGTCAGCACTGATGAGTCCTCTTGAAGTCCTGTGCAAGTTCATTGACAAATTGGAACTTACTGATCATTCCTAATGTGCTTGTATTTAGTGTCAAATAATCCAGTTATCAGGGACCTGAAAATTTAGCAAAAATCAGGTGAATAGGATCTGACCTGTGGCTCCTTACTCTTAGTTGGACCTGTCCTTATTTCCTCTCAGAGTTTCAGTTTTCCTCTCTTCTCCTCCAAACGCAAATCTGTGATTCCACCCAATGCTGTTTATCTGAATCTGATCACTCTGACCCAGTTCACTCCAGGTCTGCTTCTTGTCTTTGCTTCGTCTAGATCAAAAGGTTTCTTCTCTATTCACACTGCACGAATCCAGCAGAACTGGCACCAAGACCCTAGCAAAGGCAGTTTCTCTGCTCCCCATTGCAATACCTGTTCTCAGGTTAATCTACAGCCGCTTAGAGCTACAACTACAGGGACAGTCCTCTTCAACCCCAGTTCACAGCTGAATGGGTGCAGCATAGCGTAAACTTTTGGTGAATCGAAGTGCAAAGTAAGTTCACCTCCACCGGATGTGTTGCAGCTGTGATTTTGCCAAGACACATAATTGAAGAAAGGGCACGTCCTCTGCCCAAGGCACTGGCCTGCTAAACCTCGTGCTCGTGCGCCAGGTACTGGTGACAGAGCTCCACAGAATGGACAAAATGATATATTTCTCCCTAATCCTGCTCCAGAAAACAGTGGAATAATTTGGGCTGAAATTTCTCAGGAAAATCTACAGTGACCTTTCATTGATGAGCAAAGTAAACACTTCACGGGTACAAGTTAAACCAAGTCCTCGTGCAGCTGTTATTAGAAGCAATTGCTAAAGGCAGAGAAAGTATCAGTCACAGAGAAAGTATCAGTAATTCAAGTGATATAACTCCCCAAAATTCACATCAGAAGGCAAGTTAAAGGGATAAAAACAGTAAGGTTAAGTAGTCAAAACCCAGGAATTGCTACAATTAATTTTGCTTGTGTAATTTCAGTGTTAGAGTCTTAGTGCGTATATCTCTGCCAGTGACAAAGCACCAGTAACAGAGTCAGGAGCAGAAGCCAGAGTCCCAGGCCCGCACCTTAGTATGAGAGAAACTCCCTCCACCCACCATCACTCCCATCCCCTTCCTTATCTGTCCTACAAAACGAGATCTTATGCGCAGGATGTGTTCAAGTATGTAAAGACTGTGCTATAGTGCATTTAAAAAAAAAAAAAAGATGAATTAAGGATGAAGTTCCTGACTGCACCTCTGCAGATCTCTGTTAACCTTTAAGAAATGTATTGACATTTTGGTCTTTCACACTAGCATTACCTTAGGATCGCAATAAACATAATGAGGAGCCACTTACCCTCCAAGACACTGGTAATTATGCTGACTGCACTTGCTGCCCTTTGTCTTTGAAGTGCCTCATTAAAGTGCTCCACTGACAGACGAGAAGGCAAATGCATCATGCTGTTCTCATCACTTACGGCTGGCTGCTTAAAGAAGTAAACATAATTAGGAAGATATCACAGGAATAAAAATGAAGTAGGATGCTCTGATGGGTCGCTATGAAAGTTAATAGGAATGATGACAGGCAGCCAAATAAATGTGCCTTTTTTTCCATGGTATAATGTCTGTAATAGAATGAAAGTCATACTCTTCGATAGCAGCGCTGCAGTAAACTGATCTCACAAGCACCTAATAACGATAGGACAAACATGAACCTGGGAAAAATTCAGGTGCATGAGGAGAAATAGCGCTAGCAAATACTGCAGAGACTAACAGAAAAGGAAAGAGCTGAGGCATAATCATGACAGAAGAACATCTATCTCTACCTGCATGGTGAACATACAGATAAAGATTCTGCATGACGCTAAAGATGCTATGAGAGAGAAGGGAACTACTGGTACTGTCCCAAAAGATCCCTTGGGCAGGATATAGGATAAAAAAGCTCTCTGGTGACCATTATAATTCCATCACTAGAAACTTTCAAACGTAAGTTTGCAAAAGTTATGCACAGCTGAAAAACAGAGCTTATAATAGAAATGCTGAAGTGACGAATTCTAGTTTTCGGGAACCTCTTAGAGCAGTATCACTGCTGGTGTCAAAAAACACCTTCCTCTGACAAGTATCCCCAGACAGTCACATCATTATTTTTCATTTCATTGAAAGTGTTAAAAATTCACAAGTGTGTCAGACACGAAAAACTTAGCACTTATGGAGAAACCGTAATACGAAGCATATATTTAAAATAATATTAATTCCTTACCAAGTGGCCCTTCCCCAGGTCTTCCACAAGCGGAGGGAGCGTCAGCCCTTCAGAAGAAGCTGGATCTAGGCCGTGCACCCTGCCATTCCCTCCTCCCGCCGACGAAATCGCGCCGTTGCAATCGTCCGCGTTTGCCCGCTTGCCGCTGCTCTGCACGCAGTTCGGGGTAGCAGGGTGAGAACCGCAGCTCGCTTGACTTTGCACGCTGGAGCATCTTCCCGTGTGTGTGAATGACAGCGGCCTACGCTGGATTTCATTTTCCCCGGCACTACGGGCTTCCTCATCACCAAAATCAGCTTTGGGACCAGGTATTTGGAAATTAAACACGCTCCCATGGCTAAGTCTGCGTTTCACCTGATCTGCACTGGGACCATGCACCAGGCCAAGGAGAGCCTAAAAGCCCAGGGAAGGGAATAAAGAGAGAAGGGCACAATATCACGGAAAATATTTTGGAAAGCAATAAATGTTTTGAGTTTCATAACATTTCTTATCAACCACCGCAAGGCCAAAACTCTTATTTAATTTAGATCACTCAGGAAGGATTTTTGTTTAGATTTTGAAAGGCAGATGATAAACCCCTGCCAGCTGTAGCAGCTATTCTTATGATAAGCCTTATATTTATATCTTAAATAATTTGTTTTTTAACAAAGAATGATGGCATGTAAGTTACATTATGATAGCCATTCACTTTTTTCTGTTTCTCAGTGTTATAGAAAAAAAAAATTAACATATATTATAACTTTTCTTCTATTCTTCACTATCCTTCTGTCCTAATACTTCCTTTTCAAATGAAATTTTACATGTAAATCTTCCTCATCCCAAAAGCTTGTTTATTTTAAAGGCTTAAGAATGATTAGTCTTTATAATAGGATTTGCTTTGTGCTTTCAAGCAATTTATTTTAGAATTAAAATTGCCAAAGCTATAGGATCTCCGATTCAGACAATAGATTACCAACTTTCGTTGAATGTCTGTGGACTGTGACTTGGGAAACTGTTCTTCTTCTTCATAGTCTTCTGTCCCCAGGGACTTATTTCTCTTTTTCCTATTGCTTCTCTCTTTGATCTCTTTGGTAGACAAAGAAGAGACTTCAAAGGAGCTAACCGACATGATATCAATTCCTCTAGCAGCCAATGGCTAAAATTAAAGCAAAAACATAGATGAAATTCTTGTGTTGTAATTAGAATATTAGCAGAGAGAAAACATTTGTGTGCTCTGTTTTTTCCTTCTTAACAATGTACGTTTCACAGCACTCGTTAAAAATCTTCCAATATATGATGACTTTACAAGAAAGAGGAGAGAATCTCCGCAACATATGGAGCACCGAAAATTTTGTTATTTGCAGTATGTTACGTGATCACATGTATTGTTCCTGCCAGGAGCAAAATGACGGTATTAAAGTTCCTACTCTTCCATATGGCAAATTTATTTACAATAAAAATACTCAGTTTGAAAACGATGCTGCAGAATGCCTCTTTTTTTTTTCCCAAATAAATGCTTAACCCGTGTTAAAATTCAGTCTTCTCACTGGGTATCCTTAGGACGGTATTCACACTGTGGCTGATTATTTCCCTTCCCATATTGAATTTAGAGCAGTGTTTTCAAAACACAGCAGTATTGCCTTCCAGGAGCCGCTAAGCCATTTAACTTACTGAGAGACTTTTCACCCAGCTACCATAGGCTTTGGTTTATATGTTAATGCAGCTGATCAACTGAATTGCTGCATATTTCTCTGCTCAGCAATCTACAAGGATGGAGTAGTAGAAAAGTAAACAAAAAAAAGAAAGGAAAAGAAAAGAAAAAAAAGAACAAAAAGACTATATCATCTTTTGTAAACTGCTGGCTGATGGAATTTTACGTCTTCCAGATTTTAAAGTACTTTGCTTGCAGTAACAGCCATTTTTAAAGCTCATTATCCACAAGAAAAATTCATTGCTTCTCAGGAAGAATTTACGGTTGAACAAGGAATTGCTGCTATTGCTCTAGGAATCACTACTTTTAATAAATCATCGTTTGTTCCCGTTCCTGTAAGTGACTACTGTATACAGCTTCTCACAAAGAGACCAATTTTATTTTTTTCTTATCTGACTAATAGCAGTGCACCCAGGCTAAGGTTTGTAAGGGCAAAAACTAACGTACCTTCTGGTCTGTCTGTAATAATTCCATGGCTTCACGAAATTTCCTTTCCTTTGCCTCAGTTTCAGCAATGGTGGCCTTGTTCTGATCTTCGTATGCCATCGTTACCACTGCCAGAATCAAGTTGACTAGATAAAATGAGCCCAGGAAGATGACCAGCATAAAGAAGAGTATATACACCTTCCCAGAAGCTCTGAGCGTCTGCAAGTACAACACCCCGGAAATAAAAATTACCAGATAAAATACCAAAGTCTTTCAAAGTGAGTTTGAAATTCTTATTGAAGCATTTCTCTTACTAGAAAAAATACCTGAGGAAACTTAAATAGAAATAGATCCTCCCCGGACTTTTCCCCCCTGCTTTCTCCCTTTACCTATGCAATCAGCTGTGAGCCTCTCTAATCATACATCTTGCGAGGGCGATTGCTTTCCTGGGGAGGAGGGCACTGCTGTATTTCTGCAGGACAACAAGGACCATTTGAGTCCCCTTCTGAAGTCCCTGAGATGGTGGGATAGCAGGGGTAGTGTTGGGAAGCCCTTCAGCATCCCTTTTTTCAAGGAGTCCAGCAAAGACTGACGCTTGCTGGAAGGAAGAAGGGAGGATGCACGCTCAAGGACTTTCAGCTATTGCCATTACTTCAGGTTTCTTGTCCTTTCTAAGCACTTTTTATTTCAATTCTTGCCCTACCTGGAGGATCAGTTCTGCACGGTACAGAGCCGATACCTGCTGATACAGCCGCTCCCAGCAGTCCTGTGTCATCAGCCGGAATAAGGAAAGAAAGGCCCAGCCAAATGTATCAAAACTCGTGAAACCGTAATCAGGATTTGCCCCGACTTTCTTGCATACGTATTCTGGAGGGCAGGTCCTACAGACAATAATAGAAAGTTTTTTTAACTAGGCAGATTCCAAGAAAAACAACTTCAGAGCACTGTTCAGCTATGCATTATATTACACTGCAAGCCCATTTTCTGCTCTCTTCATCTGCTGCAGGCAGTATTTGACTGGAAAGAAGGACAGTGGGAAAACAGAAAAAGCAGTGCCTACCTTTCAACAGCAGAAGAGACGACAGGCTGGAAGGACGAGGAGGAAGGAGAGGAGAGGCCTCTCCTGCCGCTGACCTTCCCTCATCACCAAATCCTCACCCCCTCCCTGCAAAGTGGCCAAATCTCCCTCCTGACTCAAACCCACCCTTCAAATCTGTGTGTTGTTCTCCTAGTTTAACCTTCACAAACCTTCACGGGGAGAAGCGTGTCTATCCCGAGCTACACTGGAGACCCCTAGTATTTTCACCTTGCTCCTACATCGGTTGGGAAGGAAAAGGTTTAGGTTAAATTTTATTGTATCTAAGATGAATCCTCTATCTATGGTAGGAAACCTGAGGTCAATATCCCTTTCTGCCCCACACTTCACTCTTTCTAACTCATTACATGGAAACTGGCATCAAGCGTGACTGTGTTGGCAGGTAGCGCTGGTGAAGAAGGTCTTAGATGTGCGTTGGGTAAGCGCGAGAGCAGGGTAAAGTGGGGCAATGACTCCTCCCTACTGAAAAGAGTCCACAGAAAATGAAGTGAAAACGAGAGCCCAGCCCTGCTGTGAGCCTCTCTGCTTTGGTTTTCACCTCTGAGCTGCATCCCGGCTACATAATACCCATTTTGCAAAAACTGTGGGTGCACTCTTGAGAAGGCAATTGAAATGACCCTAGGCAGCATATTCTGGAAGGGCTTGAAGGAACTTAGACCTGAATAAGCCAACCGCAGGTTCCAACTTCGTTCCCTGCGTGCATTAAATTTTCTTACTGTTTACTGCATTTTGTTGGCTTTGTTTCTGTTTCTGCTGCCAAGGAAAGCGTGGAAGCTGTATGTTGTGTTCACCTCTTAACGACTGAGCAAACATAGAAGCAATGAAGCAGAAACAATTTCGAAACAAGAAATATTCTTAAGTGCACTTACCCAGCACCAGCACCACAGAGCAAAATATCTGAGGTGCCCGCCTTCTTAGCAAAGTTTGCTATAAAAACATAAAAGAAAGAATGGTAAAACCAATGCACTTTCCAACATGGGCTCTCAATTCTTTAATAAGTGATGATAAATTGCCCGTGACCTGTAAGCGTATGTGCATAAGCAGATAAACTGCTGTGCAGCAAATACGAAATGAGCATTAAAGGAAGAAAGAGAGGTTTCCTACTCTCACAGTAACTGGAACATATTCCAAAACGTCCTGTCCACATTTATACACAGGAATATGTGCATGCATACATTGCAGACTTTAGGCCACCCTCAAAACAGAACATTTTAAAAATATTTTCCACTTTGGCCACATCTGCGTGAAGTAATGCAATAGTGAGAGGGCACAGGCTCAAGCACCATCCCAAGTTTAATAACTTAGCATACTCTCCGACCTAGTTTTGGCTTGTGGCAACGAGCTCCCTCCAGGACAACGCATGGACACTGTTTGGGTCTGTTCTGTTCCAATGAGCAACACAAATGAAGCCTTGTTTTGAGGGAGAAAAACGTTTGCCTGTGTGGGTACAAACCATGCCACGGTTTATATCCATGCTGAGCCAGATAATAGGTAACCCTCACCGCATTTCATTGACAAATACAGATGTGTCCCTTAGGATGCCGGAACTGTGCCCTTTTTGGTGTCTTTCCCT